AGTGAGACATGAACTATATTCTCTAAAACTTTGAAGGATGTTCTATGTAAGGTTCACGAGATATTGAACTTTTTCACCTCTACTCTCATGACCACCGTACAAAACTGTTACATCAGAAAAAAAGAACAATGCCCAGATCGACTGTCACGCTCTATCCTAGGAATGGCCATGTTTGGCGCGATGTGGCGCTACGTTTATCCATGGCATGGCCACAGCAAGTATATAAATTGAACCTCCCACAGGATGGCCACACAGTGTGGCCACGCCAGAGTTTTTACAAGTCACATGGCGTGGCTTTGCCACACACATGGCCACACCCACGGCCACGTAACGTGTCCTGCCGTGGCAATCTAGCGCGGCCATGAGCGTGTAAGTTCACCTGGGTGGTCAGTTAGCTACTAATGATGATGGCACCATAGTAACGGCGGCCTCAGCTACCATATAAAAATTTGGAAAAGCAGCTTTTTATGGTCACAATCGAACTGAGAATGCAAGAAAACCTATAGGAAGTTGTTTTTGTCAAAACCCAAGTTTAAAATACTGAGATAAAACTCAAACATACTTCGTTTTTAAAAGTTCAATATTTCGTGAACCTTACATAGAACATCCTTCAAAGTTTTAGAGAATATAGTTCATGTCTCACTCTTTGATAAAAATCCTAAGGACTTGGCTGAAAAAAGGGAGAACATGTTGTAAAACTTATCGTGGTACTCATGAACTTGCATTGAAAGTGGCGCCGAATCCGATAATTTTGCTGGGAGAGTAAAAGTCATTTTTCTCGGTTTCTGCATCAGCTATGCCGTCAGAAAAGACAGTTTCTTACGTAACTTGATGAGCTCTATAAAACTAGATTGGTTTTAAATGAAGCGGAGAAATTTTTGTAAAATGTGGGATATTTCAGATGGATTTGCCCTTCTTTCGCTGATCAGGAGAAAAACAGGTCCTGACCAGGAAAACAGGCATGGACTTTTTTACTTACAGGTATCTGACCAGACAAACTGGACATCCTCTAGAGAGATCATTCATTTTAAACGAAGCTGTTAATCTAAAATCGGTTATTAATCGGTTATTATATATTAATATGAACGACTACTTATTTGTAAATGATGAATTGCGCTCAGGATTTACCATTCACGAAACAATTGACTGATATGTGTCAGAAAAACATCTTATCCTTAATGGTATCATATAATATTAAAAAATTCGCTATTCACTCAAAAAACATCAGAACGAGTTCAAAACTTTAGAATGTAGACTATTTAGGCTCTTCTATATCCTGTTTATAGGAGATCTAGAAACAGATTTTACAAAACCCTAAGGTTTTCCGAAAGGGTTTCTGAAAAATCCATCAACAAAAATATGTTTTTTCGATTTTTTCGATCTCATAATCACGTTTAGCGAACAAAATTAACCATATCTTGAAGTCTTAAACTCGTTCTGATGCTTTTTGAGTGAATACTGAATTTTTTAATATTATATGAAAGCAGTCTGAAAACCCGAATTTTCGTAAACCTCGCTTTTTGCTAGATTTTTCTAAAAACACATATTGCCACGAGACTCAGCATGATCGATTACCTATACTCCACCAGTTTTTAAGGCTACCAATAGTCACTGGGTGCCAGTCCTGGGACTCATAGGAAATCCGATACACCGCCCGAACTGCGAAAAATCAAGGTCTCGCTTGGCTCTCGTTTTGAAGAGAAGATCCCGGGGTATCAGTCCATTAAAAAAATTAATACAATCCTATTGGAAAACGTTTACACACAACCCTGGTTTTTCAAAGATCTCCTAGAAAACCAGTTTCAGAAAACTCGTCTGTAAAACACTTTGCTTGTAAACACATGCCTCTAGGTCTTCTCTTTCGCATGGCGAAAATCGGAGCCCTCTAGCTGCTTTTATCAAAAGTTATTCAAAAAACATCCGTGTTCTTTATATTTTGAAATAGATAGTATCGGGTGGCCCATAATAAATGGCAGTCTCAGTATTTTGACCATAACTTTTTCAGTTTTCATGCTTTCGAGCTATACTTTTTCTTAACAGATGCCCCGAAAAATTCTCTACATAAGCAGGCCCAAGCGAATTTTCTAGAGCAAGATATGGCGGAATAATAAAAGGAGAAGTATACACGTCCAAAGCTATCAACTTTCTAAGACGAAAACCAATTTTTTTACTTTTCTAGTCTCTGTTGCTAATAAAATCAAAAACTGAGACTACCATTCGAAAGAACACGGAATTCTGCACTAGAAACTTGTATGAAACGGTTTGTTGAGCCTTAGCTTAACCCACAAAAAAGAAATTTGTTTTCTTTGATTTTTCACAAAATACCGTTTTTAATTCATGTATGTGATCGCTTCACGAAAAGTCTTCCTACACAGCCAAAACTTGTCCATTTCTGACAAATTTTTTTTTATTTTGAACCTTGCAGTCGCAGCTATCCAATGGTTCTAGTCTTAAAGTCATAGATCATCCCGGGTCGACTTTCTTTGTCGCAGAATATGGAAAAGCGCGATTTAGCGCACCTTTCAAAAAATCTTAGTTTTGCATCGCCGGTTCCACTAACAAAGAATTTTTCTGTAGTGGATCAGAAAGTTGGTTTTTGTAGAGAATTTTCCGGGGCATCTGTTAAGAAAAAGTATAGCTCGAAAGCATGAAAACTGAAAAAGTTATGGTCAAAATACTGAGACCGCTATTTATTATGGGCCACCCGATAGTATTATTATATGCTAGACGAAATCCGCTGTAGACCATTAAGCTGTGAGTTCTCTAACTCATTGGAGCAACGACGTCTACGTTTAGCTTCTTGTTATTTTTCACTTATCCATGTTAATGAATTGCTTTGTATTATAATAAATGGTTCAGTGACAAAACGATGCTTACAATGGTAATGCTGAATCTCATCACAAAAATGGCGATGACGTTAATAGCTTTGTATCAAATATAGCTATCTTCTCATTCGATCTCGTAAACCAAAACGTTATATTGATCGTCAGTTACGCTAAAAAACACGTACTGTTACTACTGTCATTGATAATAATAATTTTGTTTTGGATGACGCAACTAAAGAAGGAGAAATAAATAACGAAGAAATTATGGAACAAGAGGAAATACTAATTCACCCATTTGATTATTCAGCGGTTGATGATTATACATTATCGCAAAGTAAGATTTCTTTTTTTTATGGAAGACGTTATTTGTTTTATCTCTTGTAGAAAAATTCAAACGTTCAAATGATAATGAAGATACATGTGATCCAAATAAACAGAGTAAAATTAAAGGAAAAGTAATTATCGCACGTTGGGAGTTTTTTCAAAGTCTCACCGTTCCGTTGCGTGCTTGTTCCATTGGTGAAAATGATCGTTTCTTTTATTGTTTTCTCATCGCATTGTTTGTTCAGTCATTATGTGATTTATTCTGTTTTATTTCTGACGGATAAAATTAAAAATATTGTTTTTATCTTTAAACTAGTAGGTCAAAATCTTAGCGATAAGTCGCCTTCTTTCTCTCTCTTAAATTTTATCATTTCAACATAATATACTTGTCAAATACTAATCAAAAACCAGTCTTACAAATGAGAATCATAAATGGCGAAAAATCATCACTGTTACTTAAAAAAAAATGTTAAAACAATGATTGTTGAACTCACAATTAATCTTTTCATTTTGAACGGTAGATTAATCCGTCTCAGAACCATGAAACAGCTGACTAGTCACGTTTTAACATCAACGTGAGCAATCAGATAAAAGTAAGAATGTAAGAAGAGGTATAATAATTGTACACATGTTTTGCGCAAGTGAGATATATGTTTCGTTTGACTAGTTTAATGAGAAAATTGTTCTATATCTGAGATTGTTGAGTACAAAAAGACAAACATATCAAAAACTGAATTACTGAGACAACAAGAAAAAAATAAGTTACAAAGAAAAACTGCATCACAAATAGTATCGTATATATATGAATATATATATTGCACACAATGATACATAGTTCTGGAGAAAAACACATCCAACAATCGCTTCTTCATCTTCATTTGAGTCATTGTGTTTTTTTGGGGGGTTTTTTGGGGTTTTTTTTTGTATGATTCAATCGTTGTCTGTTACTTCCCTTCCCATGATGCTAATTCGTCAGGACTGACACGTAATGAATCCATTTCAGTGTTACCTAAAAATTGAAAGAACAGTTGTTAAATCAAAAATGAAGCTGAGGTTGTTCATACCTTTCCAAAAGTTTTTATTGAACAATTTTGTAACATATGATATTGGTAATTTAAACCAGGTTCTTCTTGATACCATTGGATTCATAACGAGCAAATCACGAATCTAGAATAAATAGATAAAAAAGTTATCTGTGATTTACGTAGTTGTAAAAAAACGCCTTTTGTTCTACTGATTTAACTCATCAAATCGAAACTAACGACTCTTTTGTTTAGAGTGACAAAAAACTTGTGTGTTCCAGTCTGTTATGAAATAATTAAACGCAAATCTCAACAGCAGCCGCATTTAGTTGAATGTTTCAGAACAACTTTTGCAGAAAACAGTCGTATATTACTTTGTAAAATACTATTATTCCTCTTTCTTTCAAAAACGACATTTTGTTGCAAAGTTGTGTATGTAATACTGTAGTAAAATGTGCGGAGTACGCTTAATAGTGTTCTAAAAAAATGTATATGTGTTAAGCGTTTTTGGAGCTATGTTCCAGGAGAAACTTTTTCCGTCTATGCCACTGCAGTTAGCTGCTTCATTTTATGACTTGAGTTTGATTCGCCGTTCTCTTCGATAGTCATCCACCGGTTAAAAACCGATATTTTATCTTTTTTCGGAAATAGATTGTATGAAGAGTATGCCATATTAAATTTTTCTCACAAATGAGTTTTGTAGAGTAAACATCTCTCTATAAAATGAGCTATGGGGAAGCTTTCCATCTTTTCTCTTTCCTTGCAATCGCCTTTCTACTGGAGCTCTTATTAAATATTTTTTTTATAAGGGCTGGACCGAGATGAAGATTGCTCCTAGCTCATTTTGTAGAGAAATGTTTGTTCTATAAAACTCAGTTGTGAGGAAAATTTAACATGCCATACTCTTCGTACAATTTAGTTTTTGCGAAAAGAGGATAAAAAAATCGGTTTTTAACCAGTGCACGCCTACTCTTAGATATACACAAGGCCTGACACTTTTCTACAAATTAGAGAGGACCTTTTTCCTTTACTCACTTTCATATCCATTTTTGATTGTCGTGTAGTCGGATCATGTGACAATTCAAATCCAAACAATTGATACTCAATCGAGTCACCGGCTTCACGCTGCAACTTTCCTATAAAAACAAAAACAGCAACATAAAAGAAGTAATAAAAAAGTACACGTATACATACCTGTGGGTGTACATGCACTCTCATCCAATCCCAAATGATTTCTACCAAACATATTAAACACACAATGTCCAGTTTCATGCAGTATTTTCACAGCAATTAAGAACGCGTATTTTAACGCTAATTGAAAGGGAGAATCCAAATGTTCAGATGGTGCCTGTAACACTTGTTCGTCCAGGCACGACTGAGGTTCTGCCATCGATATAAGCTATCGACCAAAGAAACAAAAGACAAGTGAGATTAGTAGAAATTAGTAATTAGTTGACTTACATCATAATTGAGATTTAAAATGAATCCATCCTTATAACAGCCGTATGCATTCGTTATATAATGTTTGCCTTTAGTCTTTCGACGAATAACATTCCTATCTTTTAAATGTACCATTAACTCTTGATCTTTTACGATGAACAAATCTTTTAACATCAGGAGTTCCTCTACTGACGGACTGGCTTCCTGTGAAAAACAAACGAAGAAAAAATATACTAGAAAAAAATTAACTCCAAAACTTCTTTTCAAAATTAGAAAGCACATATTCTAGACATCATCTGATTACCACTTTTAAGCAACTCTCTCCTGTCTCAAATTCTCCTTCCGTTTCCGAACTGAAGTTTAGTTTTCGTTAAAACACAACACTTTAGTATTCTGCAGCTGGACAAGAAAAAATCATGGGACCGTACTACTAGTGAATGTCTAGAGCAGAACATCCGGTTTTCATTTAACGCAGATGTGTCTATATGCAGGCGAACCGAAACATCAGCTTGACAAATCAAAAAACACTTCTTAACTCAACAATCGTAACCTGGCTTCAACTTACTGCATCAAATGGTATATAATTTGTATTCGACGGAAACATATGAAAATAATAATTTTTTTTCAACTGTTCATTCGCTAATATTTGATAAACCAGTCGATTAGCTAGTTCAAATGCTAACGTTGAAGATGGATCACATGACTGGTTAAGAATTGAATAACTGATTAATGGTGATGAAATAGGATAATCAAAAGTAGAAGAGAAGATGATGACATCATCTAGATATACTAAGCAACAGCGCCATTTCAAGCCGGACAAAATAACGTCCATAAGGCGTTGAAATGTAGCCGGTGCATTAGTTAAACCAAACGGCATCACGGTGAATTGAAATA